ATCATCCATCCCCGCATCAGGGAGTTCAGGTCCGGCCTGGGCAGCGCCCGTAAAGGTGGGTCTCTAAGCCGGGCGGGTCTTCAGGTTGTTTTTGTAACTTAATGTTAAATTTTTTGTTTTCTCTTCGCCTCTTCCAGATGTGCCTCCCTCTCCGCTGTCCGTACATGACAGGTACAGCTCTCCTGCAGCTGGCAGCGCGAAACGGCGTCTCTTCGGTGACGACCCACCAGCTCCGTCACCAGGCCTGAACGCCGGCTTAAGCCCAATGTCTTCTCCAGCAAAGAGACTGACCTTTGGCACAAGCAGCACCCTGAAGATCGCAGGACAGGGGACACAAACCACCGTCCTGAGTATCCCACTGCCAGGTGCTTACGCCGTTCCTGTTTCACTGTTGTCATGGTTGCATCATCAGCCAAAACAGGATAAAATTACATATTTTTTATTTATTTATTTTTTTAAACCTCCCTGGCACTGAATAAGCTGAACTGCCACCAAAAACAGAGACTTGGAGCACTCGCATTTGCATTTCTTTACACAGAGTATTCAGGCTCCATACAGAAGAAGGTCAAACCCTCAAACTGAGACGGTGTTAGTACCTTGCTCTGATGCTGGACATGGATTTAAGCCTCTATCCCCGACATGCTGATAGTTTTCTTTGCTAAAATAAGTCCACATAAACGTTCAGGCAGTTGGTTTTTCCTGCTAAACATCTGTTTGTGGGAATATCTGCAGGTACAAATAACACTGACCGCACCATCACGCTGATCCCGGTTCAGGCGTGTGATTCTTCTGCTCCCATCACGGCTCAGTTCCTGCTGACCGCCTCCCCGAGCCGGCCCACCGCCGTTGCCACGACCTCTGATACCCAAGCAGGAAATGGACGACCGAGACGCACAGGATCACTCGCTCTCTTCTTCAGGAAGGTACGGACTGTGAAAGGAGTGACATTTTAAGACAGGCTGGTTTCATAAAAATCTCTAGTTATAAATTTAAGAATTTAGAATTTGATATTTTTATGTTTCTATAACCTGATCACTCTACTCTCTTTATCTGGGAAAGAAACGTGTTAATAAATAAACCTTAAAATGTGCAGAACATAATACAGGTTTCAGTTTAGATGATAAACATCCCACTAGAGCTACAACTAGGGATGCAACGATACC